AGAGAGNGNGGGGGGGGGGGGAGGGATTCCCCCTTTCACGCGTGAATGGGGTTAGATTTGGTCCACTAAAAAATTTATAGACTCATATTAATCGTCTTCAGATCATTAGAATATGCTTACTTGCTCTTTAGATGCGAAGAATTTAACCATAGATGCAGACCTGCCTACTTTTGATAGAAACGAAAAGGGGTGAGGATCAAAATACATTAAACCAAATTCATCGCTGTGCTTAAGGCGAAAAATTATGCGACTCTGATAGAAACAATTTTCCCGTTTTTTTTTCCCTATCATAATGATTATAAAAAAATATTGATCTCAGACCATACAAACGGTCTCGACTTATTTATGATGCATATTCTCATCTTTTTCTTTCTCATTTTTTATCCATCCATTCCATTCCTGCTTCTCTTCCAATGCAATCGACCATGCATGCAGGCCGAGCACACTACAAATCATTCACGATATATCACCATACGGAACTTTATTCGTTTTATTTTTAAAAAAGGGGGAGGGGCTCATATTCAGTAACCTTCACACCTTCAACCCATGCATCGCGTCTCCCATATGATCTTCCCGCGCCTCCCGGGGCGGGCGACCCTCCTCAACGGCCTCCGACACTTCGCCACGACGCCTCTGCTGTGGGGGAAAGTGGTGCCCTTCAAACTCGCGGATATCGGGGAAGGCATCAGCGAAGTTCAGGTCGTGGACGTCTTCGTGAAGGAAGGGGATCGGATCGAGGAGATGGATAACATCTGTGAGGTTCAAAGCGACAAAGCCACGGTCCACATCACCTCCCGCTACGCCGGCGTCGTGCAGAAAGTCTACGTCACCGCGCAGGAACCCGCGCAAGTCGGGCAAACCCTCGTCGATATCGCGTTGGAGGAGGAGGACGGGGAGGTTTCACCAGGGGGAGGCGAGGTTTCACCCGGGGAGGAGGTTTCCTCCCGCGTGGAATCCCCGCCGTCGTCTCCAAATGCAGGGGAGGTGTTGGCGACCCCCGCCACCCGCAGCCTCGCGCGGCAGCACCGCGTCGACCTCCGCGACGTCCGCCCCTCCGGCGAGGGCGGCTACATCACCCAGGCCGACGTCCACCGCCACCTCCGCGCGCGGCCGCCGGCGGGGAACCCCGCAACCGACCCCCTCCCCCTTCGGGAGGAAATTTCCACCCGCGAGGAGCCCCCTTCGCCCCCTCCTTTGCCCGATGAGGTCGCGATCGCGCCCGGGGATCAGACGATTCCGATCGTCGGCGTGCGGCGCGGCATGGCGCGCGCGATGACCCGCGCCGCGAGCATCCCGACCTTCAGCTTTTCCGAGGAATTCGAGCTCAGCAGGCTGCTCGAGACGCGTGAGCGGCTGCGTGAGGTCCTTTCCCGGCGCTCCGGCGGCGCGATTCGGCTGACGTTTTTGCCGTTTTTCCTCAAATCCGCCTCCCTCGCGTTGCGGGCGTACCCCGAGGTGAACGCGCACTGCTCGGCGGACTGCACCGTCTTCGTGCGGAAAGCCGCGCACCACATCGGGGTCGCGATGGATACCCCGAACGGCCTCATCGTTCCCGTCGTGCGGGATGTCCAGGCGAAGAGTCTCGCCGCCCTCGCGGAGGAGCTAGGCCGTTTGATGGAGAAAGGCGCGCGGAATCAACTCGCCGCGGCCGATCTCGTCGACGGGACCTTCACGATTAGCAACATCGGCGCGATCGGGGCGGTGCACGGGGCGCCGATTTTGCTGCCCCCACAGGTCGCGATCGCCACGCTTGGGCGGCTGCGGCCCCTTCCCCGTTTCGACGCCACGGGGGAAACCATCCGACGGGAAAATATCCTCACCGTTTCCTTCAGCGCGGATCATCGCGTGATCGACGGGGCCACGATGGTGCGCTTCGCGAACGTCTGGAAGGAGTACGTGGAGTACCCGCAGCGGATGGTGTTGGATTTGCAATAACATCCCTGCGAGGACGAGAATCGAAATTTTTTTTTTAAAAAAGAGAGAGAGAGAGAAAAAAAACACTGAAAAAGGGGAAGAGAGAAGGGGGGATAAAGGAGTTATCGATAGGAACTAATATGAGGGAGCCATGTGCTAGGATATCCGCATGAGTTTGTGTAGGAATAGATGATCATTGGAGTGTTCAGGGGAGAGTCCTACACTCGGTATAGCGAAAGTAGGAAGATATATGTATATATATATATACATATAGATAATAGGTTGCACTCATTCAATTGAAACCAAAACATAGTGCTAGCGTTTTAGGACTGATTTTAGTTCAAACTGTGTAAATTAGATCGGGTCTTTTTGTCCTGAAATGCTAATAGGGCGAGCTCGTATGCGGTTTTAGCCTTTCCGCAAACAGAGTGTACTACTTTACGTGGATTTACTCCCCACAAAATGGGTATATCTCTATACAGTCGCTATGTATTTTCTCGGTTAGATTTGCACACGATATTTTTTTGCAGCAAAACTTTGGTTCTAAGGTATTTATGAGTATATTTGCTTTTGTTCCGTTTCTTATATTGCTAAATATACTTTGGACCATTTTTTTTACTTTTATTTTATAGTTACATATATATGTGGGTTTATTCCTCTGTGAGTCTACACAGTTGCGAAAATTGTGGGTTGTGAAAGCACTTCCAAGAGTGTGGCAGTTATCAGCGATAACTAGCTTCATTTCCTGAACTTTCCTTCTCTATATGTAGAAATAGTTGCTTACGAAGTTGCATCCATATCCGTTCACATGAACTTTTGCTTTATTCTTTTTTTTGTTTAGAGAGATAGAGAAACATAAGTTGAGCTCTATAAATTTTTCACGTCCCATCTAGGGATTCCTAAAACATTTGGGACAAACGTACTTTAAAAAATTGGTTATCGAAAGTCTTTTAAACAGAAAATGCATCGAATTATCTCTAGGATTATCGTCATTAGTTGTTTGGGGAAACAGGTCCCAAAGGTAAATGAACAATGATACATGGTCTAACGCCGGCCTTTTTTTTCTGAATGGATGTGTTCTTCTCACTTTTACTTTCTTTCCAAGGTTTTCAACAAGGATACGGTGGAGTTAGTCCCCAAAAGACAGAGAAAAACAAACCCGCTCTTCCATCTTCGGCTGGGTCACGACTTGCTGAAGGGGTATACCGTGGGGGGATATTCTTTTCTTTTTTCCCCTAAAGAAATTGAGAGGGTGCACTAACCAACTCGATCTCGACGTTCACTTTTGCCAGGTGATTCGTTGCTTTGGGGGAAAAAATCCCATTTTGTTATTCTTATTCATATTCGTAGTGCACGAAACGTGATTCATGGAGGCGAGTGAGGATATTTTCGTCAACGACACGAGCCCGGCGCCGGTAGAGGAGGCGATGGCGCCTTCGAACGCGCCCGTCGACGCCGATGGGGAGGGCGAGGCCTCCGTGGAAGGGCTCATCCCCCTTTGCGCCCGCCACGCCGCGGGGCCGCTCTTAAATCTCGCCACCTTCGGCTACGACATCGCGCAGATGGAGCGGCGGCCGTGGCGGGAACCCGGCGCGAAACTTTCCGATTACTTCAACTACGGGTTTAACGAAACGAGTTGGCGGGTGTACTGCGCGATGCAGGCGGAAGGGGAGGCCTCGCTGCTCGCCCGCGCGCGCGAAACGCTGCAGCGGCTGCAACTCGCGGCGGAAGGGGAGGGGGAAGGGGGGAACCCCCCTGGCGGCGCGGGGTATGACGTTCAACCCTACGCCGAGGATAACGCCGCGAAAGGTGGAGGAGGAGGGGGATATCGCGCTCCGTTTGTCGGCCATCACCCGATGTTTAATTATAAAACGAAGCTTTGCCAGCGCTTCGCGGAGGGGCGGTGCACCAAAGGCGGGGAGTGCACCTACGCGCACGGGATTGGGGAGTTGCGGACGGCGGCCGCCCCCCCCACGGGTGGGGGAGGCGCGCCGATGGCAAA